TTGCTACTGCCCGGGCTCCGGCAGCACCACAGTCGTCCATCCTGGTCTGCACCTACCGAGCCGTCGGCCTGAAGTACTGGAAGTACACCATTGATGGTACCAATATCTTTCTGATCAACCTTCTGGCCATTGTCTTCTTTGTCATCTTCGACTGGCTTGTTCTGGATGGGGTGCTGCATGTCGAGAACTTCCTCACTTCCTCCGCGTTTCTCTTCGTCGGTGGCTTGGCATCTATAATCCCTCTGGCCTACTTCATTGGCCAAGCTGTCGCATCCATCTCTGCGCAGTCGTCTATGGGCCTGGGTGCTGCCATCAATGCCTTCTTTTCGACCATCGTCGAGGTCTTCCTCTACTGTGTGGCTCTCCAACAGGGCAAATCTCAGCTCGTTGAAGGCAGCATCATTGGCAGCATCTTCGCTGGTATCCTCTTCCTGCCCGGCCTTTCGATGTGCTGCGGCGCCATCAAGCGCAAGACGCAGCGCTTTAACTCGAGGTCAGCGGGTGTGACCTCGACTATGCTCCTTTTCGCCGTCATCGGCGCCTTTGGGCCGACTCTTTTCTACCAGATATACGGAACTCACGAGCTCACATGTCAGGACTGTACCAACTTCGACCGCCCTACCCGTGGCGGTGGAGGAGCTACAAGAGATTGTCGCCGATGCTTCTTTTCCCAGACTCCGGCCCTCAATGATCGGTTCTATCTCCAGGCTGTGCGCCCTTACTGCTACCTCGCGGCCAGCATGCTATTTCTGTCGTATATCATTGGTCTCTGGTTTACACTTCGTACCCACGCGGCCGTTATCTGGAATTCCGAGATCGACGAGAAGAAGAATGACGACCACGTAGCACCTCATAGCGCGCGACCTTCGCATCACACCGTAGGCGACACTACTGGCGCTGATATACGCGATTCACACCTCTACAAACGCATCCTCGGTCAATCGCTCCGCCAGGTGGGCCACACCACGGACGAGCAAAGATATACGTCAGCTACCTCGTCAGGCGGACCGAATGGCACTCCGCACGTCGTTCCTCCAAAGTCGACGCTGTACAACGCCGATGCTCTCAGCTCTACCATCAGCATTCCTGGCTTCTCGGATGCTGAAAATAACAATCTCGTCCACCAGGTTGCAGAGATAGCCGCAACAGCTGCGACTGTGGCCGCTAGAAATGTCCAAGGACCACGTCGGACTTCAGCCCATGGCCCTAGCCCCGCCGCACCAGTACCGCAGCTATCGATCTCGGGCAGCACTCGCCATGCACCTATTCGTACCGCGACCTTCCGTGATCATGAGGAAATTGGCGATGCACATGTGGCGCACGCAGGCGGGCATGGAGGCCACGACGCGCCAAACTGGAGCCGTCTGAAGAGTTCCATCATTTTAATGGGTGCTACAGTGCTCTATGCCGTCATTGCTGAGATTCTGGTCGACACCGTTGACGTTGTTCTCGAGAGTGTGGACATTGATGAGAAGTTCCTCGGTATTACGTTGTTCGCCCTTGTGCCGAACACAACCGAGTTCTTGGTTAGTTTTTGCATGCTGTCGTGGTAGAAGAAGCCAGTTAACATGTGTTCCAGAACGCTATCTCTTTCGCCATGAACGGCAATATTGCGCTTTCCATGGAGATTGGTTCGGCGTATGCTCTGCAGGTCTGCTTGCTGCAGATCCCTGCGCTGGTCCTCTTTTCTGCCACCTATCCCCTCGAGTCGATACCGCTCGAAGACATGGGTCGGTATACCTTCAACCTCCTTTTCCCGCAGTGGGATATGGTGACGGTCATTCTTTGCGTGTTCTTGTTGAGCTACATGTACGGCGAAGGCAAGAGCAACTACTTCAAGGGAAGTATCTTGTTGTTGAGTTATCTGGTGGTGATTACTGGGTATTATTTCAGTGGATACGGGACGAGCCTTGATGCTCCAGAGATGGGCATCAGTCGCTTCGACACCATGGGTGACGAGGGAGAGTGGGTGAGCCATACATTCAAGACGGTTGGACGGAGAGCAGCTGGGTTGGTGTTTTGAGAGCGTGCTTTTGACTATCGGTGAATGGTCCTGGTCGGCTTGATGACGAGGTGGCCTGGGAAGGCATTCTTCCTCGTCTTGGGTTATTTGTTACTGTTGTGTTTTTGGACGGACATGCATTATTCTGTTCATAATTGGTTCGAGGAGAGCACAGCATGCAGGAGTATTGTTACTTTTTTTTCCGTCTTGCTCATCCTTTTTTTCTCGCTGATGGCCGGTCGTAATTGACATACGGTTCAATTTAAGTCTTCCTATTAAAGTATTACTCTCGGTTGGTTGATCAACTGTTCAGAAGACCGGAGATAATGTCGATGGTATGGCTATTGGCTGTGAGTGTTTTCGTACTCCGTACCAAGTACCTAAAAGAGGTAATTTTGGCTATGTGGCGTTAGGAATGAGATGCCCGTCACACCTTAAAAATGCGCGTGGCAAATGCGTCGGGACGTGAAAACAGAATGCAACCTCAGTGGAGATCCGGATCGGGCTGTCGGGTCGGAGTAAGAAAAGCTTGGTATCGGCAACCCTGTGACATTCAGAAGCGGCCCCCATGCCGGAAACTCAAGCTTCTGACCACATGCAAACCATACAAGTCTGAACTCTACCTTAATGAAGCCATCACTAACTCTTTATCATGTTTTAGCAACAACTCACATGTGTACTCTACCTTTTTAGTAAACGATAGCGCGACATTTTTCCATGTTCCAGGCGTGCCAAGCCCATAATGCCCCACCGAAATGCTTTTCTCGGCTGTCGTTTGGCCAATCCATACGGAACTACAGCGCCACGCGTCAGCTCACGGTGCAGAATGCGATTACGGCGCAGATTCATTCCTGGCGGAAGCTGAGACGGCCCTTGTGCAACAACCCCTTTTCTTACTGGACCCGCTGGGTCGGAAAGCAGGGAGGAGGGATGTTTGGAAGGGATGATCTCAGAGGTCAGATCATGTCCACACGTACTCGCCCGCACCTGACACGACATGGCCCCCAGGCTCGTATCCTGAATTCCCGACCTGAACCTTCTCGAGAGATGAACACGTCTTCTCTCCAACAACTTCCGATGTGCATGCAGATGCTGGCGTCGCCATGTTGGATATTGGCGTGTCGAGGCGACACATCGCCGCGGCTTTGACGCTGCTGGCTTTTATTTGGCTGCTTCGATTTACCGTGTTTTCAGATGGCCATGTCGCGGTATGTTGGCTGGCCCCTTTGCGATCAATATTGATAGATGACTGACTCTGCTCGCCTCCGCAGCCATTGCTCGATTCCGAACATGAATCTGACTCCAGCCTGCCGGAGCCAAAATTAAACGAAACGACGAACACGGTGACGGTGACGACGACAACGACAACGACAGCAGTATCTACATCAATCCCCGAACCTACAATTCTTGAGGTGCCCAGGAAATACGGCCAGATCATAGACAGGGTCGCCACCATCACCGACACGCTGTATACGGAGCGACTTATCCCGCTGATCCTCCACTACCACGCCGTTCTAGGTCCAGAATGGCCCATCGTCTTCTTCACCTCGAATGAGACGCTCGTGCAGCATATCATGCCTCCGCCCACCAACACGACGACCACGCAGGGAAACGAGACGATTGTCACCACGACCCCGGCCGGCTCGGCCATCTGGCGCCGCGCCGTCGCCGATGGCCGCATCACGATCCGCATCATCCCCGACCAATTCAACCTGACATCGCGCAACGGCGTCAACCTCTACCTCTCCCGCCCCTGGCTGTGGGAGCAGCTCGCGCCGGCGACGCACGTGCTCATCTTCCAGGCCGACGCCATGATCTGCGCCAACTCGGGCCGGACCGTCGAAGACTTCCTCGAGTGGGACATGGTCGGGGCGCCGCTGCACCCGCGCATCCACTACTACAACGGCGGGCTGTGCCTGCGCAACCGCACAATGATCATGGAGATTTTGGGAGAGGGCCGCGACTGGGAGGCCGACACGCTGTCGGGCAACTGGACCGAGGGCGGCGAGGACATCTGGTTCTCCAAGCAGATGGACCTGCGCGGCGCCCACCTGCCGTCGGCCCAGGAGGCCATGCTGTTTGCCGCCGAGCACCCGTGGCACATTAAAGATAGCATCAAGCCGCCGTTTGGGTACCACAAGGTGCACAAGTACGCCGCCGGGAAGATGGAGCAGATCGCACAGTGGTGTCCCGAGATTGCGCTGGCGGCGCCGGGGAAGCTGGAGCCATCGACTTGAGGATGAAGACCGTATTTCTGAAGCAGCGTCATTCCTGTGTAGCGCGCGAACGTGTGACAAGGAAGCCATGAGGAGCCCGCATCGCAACACAGCGGCAACCCACGTGTGGTGGCCGTCGTCCCACGTGTTTGTCTCCCCATCCCCACGAGAGAGTGGCCCACTTTGACGGGGCCACCAAAGATGCGTGTGATGACATCCGAGCGAAGAAGAAAGGTAAGCGGGATTTGCACAGGGCATGGTATGGTCGCTTGGACGGCGTTAAAGGGTGGGATATTTGTTTCCCATGCATTGGATAGATGGAAAAGGAATAGAAAGGGAAATTGTATGATGAGACAAGATAGACAAGAGAGTAAACTTACCCAAGAGTCATCTGTCCATCTACGCATCCACTTCACGTTCGGTCCGTCCCATGGCTGCCCTACCTCATACACATGTTGGTTAATGGTGGAGAAAGAAGCGGGCAAGCTACCGTACCGGGCTCACCATGAGAACATAAGGTAGCCTTTTCGGACTTCAGCCTCCATTTATTCCGCTTCCACCTCCGACCTACCGGTATGCACGGACTAGGTCAGGCAGTGGCTAGAGACTCCACAATACCCACGCAGAACCTTCAATACACAACACAGCTTTTGTTGGGCAAGATGGCCGAGCAGTCAGGCAACAATCCCAACCAACTGGCTCAAGAGCCACCCACCTCCACCTGACCCGCACGCACATAATTCAATTTGCCCGAACTCACAACACATCCACACCAGCAAAAAGGCAAGATGGCCGAGCGGTCTAAGGCGCCACGTTAAGGTATTCAACCTTGATAACACTCCAATTTCATACTGGATTCCGTGGTCCGAAAGGGCGTGGGTTCGAATCCCACTCTTGTCATAGCAGCTGCTTGTTAGAGCATCTAATTAGTCGGAAGAGACTTGAGCTGCTCATTTTTGTTTTAGATATGGGAGCTTCTTTTTGGTTCCCGGTCTCTTCTTTGTTGTATGTACACATTTATATTTCTGCTCGGGCTGTCTGTTAGTTGGGACGATTGGTTACATACGCTGTACGTCAACTTCTCGGGTTTTGTTGGTGTGTGTATCGTTTCCTGGTTATTTATTATATTGATTAGACAGCTGGTTGTGTCGCATTCGGACGGTTAACTCACGTGCGTCTGTGGTTTTCTGGGCTGAAGTCCACGTGGGTGTGTGTGGGTGGGCTCCATGGGTGTCATATGTTTCTGAAAAGTACACTGCCGTCCGTACTCACGCATTACCCGGGTTGGATTGCGAGTGAACGTGATCGAAGTGAATCTCCTCTAGCATGCAAACGCATGGAAAGACTGATTTGTATCCCCAGAATCGGGCAAGAGATTCTTGCTTGATCAACTCCCGAACTGGTTGTATGTTTACTGTGCCCTCTGACTGCTGCTGTTGATATATATATCCAGGTCGTATCATGCGGGGGATATTGATTATCGTAACTTCACCAACATCTACTTTCTTCATATAATCCAGGCAGCCCAGTTGTGAGATACGTTGGTCATAGGTAGAGTCCCGTCATGAATCCTTCAGTCAGACTCAGGCGTTGCCATGTGACAGGCCGACGGCAGCCGTGCCAAGGCGGGTCTTTCTTTAGTTTGCGAGAATAATTCTTTTGTGAGAATAGAAGTGACGGTCTTTTTTCTAGAATGATAGTCCGTCACGGTTTTGCTGGTTCAGAAAGACCAGAAATGGGTCTGGGCTGATCAGCGGGGGGGCGGGCGATCCCAAGGGGGTTCGGGAAGGTTTAGGCAAAATGGGTATACACCCAATGTTAATATATCTGCCCACGGGGACTCCGCATTTTTGTAGCAAGAGGATACTATCGGGCATATTGGTAGATGGAGGGCGGAGTATCATTGGATGGTTGATTACCTAAGTTATGTCAACTGCCACTCCACCGAGGAAAAGCCATCCAGGGGTGAAGACCTGTGCTTGGTGTTTTTTTCATTCTTGATCAGACAGGTAGTTATTCAAAACTGACGTCAGATTAGAGGAGGAAAAAGGGAGATAGTATAAAAGGTAGATACTAGATAGATACACAAATGAATATATATGGGTTGACGGATGATGATGATGTCTGGGAATACAGTATTGGGGGGTTGAAGTCTGGTGGTATGCAAAATTGATTGCGCGTTCCTACTCTGAAAGGTTGAAAAAAGAACGGGTGGAGGAAATATTGTCCGACTTTTCTCTTTTTCTCGATTTGCTGGGCAGTAATAGAACAGACTCCGTGCAGTCTCTCTTAATAACTCCGTCCTCTCTCTTCTCCTTCCTCGAAATAGCCTCGCGACTCTTCAAGCTTGCGTCGCCCAAACCGAAGAGAAAGAAAACAGGAAAGGCCACCGACGTTCTCTTGTGTCGTCCCTCGGGATCGAGCCAATATTCAATGTTCCTTGTCTCGACTTGGCTTGGTTGTGTTCAGGTACTTAAGCCTTGATGGCCATCTCGCCCATGGGCAGAGCCTTGATCCAGCCGTCGACCTCCTCGGGGGCTTGTTGCTTGATAGTGCAGGCGTTGTACTTCTCGGGGGTCTGGGCAGTAAGTCCAGCAGCCGGGCAGTCCTTGTTGAGGTTGCAGTTCTTGTCCATAGCCTTCTGGAGCGAGTCACCCTTCCAGCCGAACACGTAGTCACCGTGAGCAGCAGCGCCACTGATTTGGTTTCGTTAGTTGACTGCATCTCAATGTCGGTAGTGAGTGGATATGGACACAAAACTTACCCAAGGTTCATGCTGTACATGAGGGCCGGGCCGGAGTCGGGCCAGATGCTCTTGTCCATAAACTTGGACACGTTCCACATGAGCTCGTACATGATCTGGGGAAGCTTGACAGGGTGGGTAGACGGGCATGCGCCACCACCGCTGGCACCGGCACCCTGGCCGTAGGCAACGTGGGACTTGTGGTCGGGCGAGTCAAGGTTCTTGCCATCCCAGCAGCTTTTGGTTTCACCCAGGTCAGTACAGTCGATTCCTTTTGAGGTTGCCCAAGAAGGTGGGGGGAAAGCTCACTGAGGGAAGATGATGGTCTGGCGGATCATCTTGCACTTGGTGTCTTGGGGAATGTCGACCGTATCGGAGCCGGAGCAGGGAGCACCACCCACAAAAGTGTTGTCGTTGGTCGACGTCCAGCAGCGATGGCAGATGTTGCCCGACGAAACCTTCTTGGGATCTGTGTTTGCGGCGTTGCCAGCAAGCATACGGAAACCCTAAGGGAAAATGTTAATCACAGTCCACATGATTATCCTTTTCAACCCCAAAAAATACTCACGGCCTTAAACGCGGTGACCTTGCCGCTGGGGATGTAGTAGATGTCGAGACCGCCCTTGTTGACGAGCTGGCCCTGAGGACCACCGTTGCCGACCTGGGGCACGCGCTGGTAGGTGCCGTTCTTGGCCTTGAAGAACATGACGGCGGTCCAGTAGTTGGACAGATCCTGGGTGAAGCTGCACGACGTGCAGGTCGACTGGGACGCGAGATCGTGGCTGTTGGGGTCCATGGTCAAGTTGAACGAGTTGCCGCCGACAATCTGGTGAAGATGGGGCGTGTACCGGATGCCGGGGTTGACTAGGGGGTCGACACGGTCGACAACCAGCTGCGAGCACGCGAAGCGCAGCATGTTCTGGGCTGCGGCGCCATTTGCCAGCAGCGCAAGCGCGGCGAGAGAAGCCCACTGATGCATCTTGCCTTTCTCTTTCTTCCTCTTCACAGTTGACGGTGTCTCGGTTTGGGAGGGCCTTGACCGGGGAGGAGAGAAGCGGTTGTTGAGTTTGCTGCTAGCAGAACAGCTCTGTCAAAAGAAGGGACGAGGTTAAGGGGAAAAGGGAGAGAAAGAAACCAGGAATTGCTCCGGCTTTTGATGTTGCACCATGCACTTATACTAGCTGGATCTTGTGACCATTTTGCCTCCTTCGTCCTCGAGTGTCCACCTCCCCTTCCGACCAGACTGGACCTGCTCGCAGCCGTGACCCGGTCCATGACAATCCAGCGGCGAGTTCAGGCTCCCGGCAAGTACTAACTGCCGATGCTACGGAACAAGTTCGAAGAGTTTCTCTCATCTGGGTATAATATAAGTGATTGGGTTGGACGCGTCGATGCCATTCGTGGAGAATTGCCGGAGCTCCGGATCGCAGTTTAGAACCGTGTAGGTCTATAGCTTGCGCTCTAAGTGTTTTTCTCAATTTTTCTTTAGTGCTGGGTTGGGCTGTAGGGGAGCCTAGAAGGAGAGAGGACTGGAAGCGCGGGTGAATTGAGCCTCCCGGGTAAACAAAGGCCGTCCCTAATATATTGCGCGAGGTCACGCTCCTCCCCTCTCGATTGCACAGGGGACATTGCTTCCCACACCCCTGATTAATCAACTACGAGCGGCAGAGACAGGGAAAAAGTGACGTATAGAGTGTGACGGTGAGAATCTCGTTGGTTGACAGCGCAGCCGAACCACTGTCAGCTATTCTTGGTGCTCGGGAACGTGGAGAGAAACGTGGAGAGATACAGCCTGGGGCCGTCTGGGGTGTGGAGGAGGCGTCTGTGGAGGAGCTGGCGCCGTGAACCGATTGGCTGCTTGTTGTGAGCCGCCTCGGGCCTTTGAAGCATATGATCAATTGTCAATCTTTCTTTCCTACAGATATGGAGTCTAGGCGTCAAGTGGCAAACACCAGCTTCAGTGTCGCTCATTGGACTTTTTTGATTTGGGATACTTCTCTCTCCAACCGGGTATGTTGCCAGGTACCAGCGATACCCTGCCATGGCCAGATCTCTGCAGTCACTCTGAAATGGCCTTGGGGTGTTGTTGATTTTGTCTAGGTTTGTATCTTGAGCCCTGGGGAACAAGGATTGCCCGGATAACGAGCCAGAGGCGAATACTTTCTGTATTTACCATAGAGTAGACACTACGTGCAGTTACTCGGAAGCAAGCAGCCTCACTCGGCAGATTCTTCTCGTCAACCAAACTGCAAGCAGGAGTCCGAGTTGGGGGTGGATCTTGTCTGCCCCCCTTTCAGGATCGAGCAGCAAGATTTGATCATGACTGTGGATGCAGAGTTCCCCAGAAATAGGACGGCAGCCAAGCATGGACGGCAACGGATCGAGATGTTTGGACGCCGCGACTATACGCCAACCCACGCCACACAGAGAGCGCAATATCTGGGGGACAGGAAGCCCAGACTGTTGGTCCTAATCTACATCACTCCTGTCCACTGGACTGTCCACGAAATCCCGGACCCTTCTAATTCCCGCGCTCGGGTCTTTTTGTACCCAGTGCATCTTGAGGCTAATTCCTTCTTTTTGTAATTCCTTGCATATTCTCTGCATCTCTCCTTTTCATCTTGTCGAGGCTGGCCTGTCGCCCAATCGCTTGCCTATCCGGGATAGTGTTTTGTCAGTCTCTGACATGACGCAAGATCAATTTCTGGTGCGGCAGTGGTCAAGAGCCGGGGTATTCCATCTGTGTGGTCGACTGAAGGTAGGCAGGTAGCCATGGAGGGAGACAAACCACAAAGGGGGCCAAAAGAAATGCCGGCACCTCCCTTTACCAGTGGTCGCCGGGCTTCCTCCGAGCCAACATGTCCACGTGTATGTGGGTGGGTAGACTGTGTGACTCCCTCGGTGTCATCTATCTTTGTGGGGTGTTTTGGTTATGAAATCATCACTCCGGGGATGAAGTATCAACCGATATACGAAAGATCTAGACTAGAAACATGACCGGCTTCTAGAAGGTCCCAGCATTGCTTGTTCCAAGGCTCACATGACAGTAGCCAAGATAGTCAAGCCTGTTTTTGACCTCGTTTAGTGTTCGGTTGCTCGAGACCACCACGCAACCCCCACCTGTAGCATCAGGGATTGGGATTTCGTACTCGTCGCT